AGGGGTAAGTTTTACCCCACCTAGAGGGTTTCCGTTCAGGGGGAGAAACTGGCAAAAAAATGTTTCCCCCTTAAATCAAAAATTAACAGATCCGAGCGTTTTTTCATAAATGACCTGAAGTGCCAAAAATTGGTTGTTTCGTTTGCAAATGTCTACCCTGTATATATACAATAATATATTTAATAATATGTGTATAAATAAATCATCATAAATCTCCTCCTAAATTCATGATCGTTAATAAATGTTTCTATTTATTTCATTGGAACTTCCGTCTGCCGCCGCTTCAATCCTCAAAACTCCAGCAATTCGACATTTAACAATACTTTTTTTTTCCAAGAACATTTTCATAAAAACAAACGCTTTAATATGGCTTTTAAAAACACCAGTGGTGACCCTAAGTGGGTTGTGGAGGGGGAGCCCCCACTTCTCGCATAGAGGCCGGGCACCCAAAGAAATTTCTGAGTTCCGCCGCCCATGTAAACAACACTCGGCTATTTATTAGTTATCAAAAAATTGTACGCCTATGACTTATAATAAACCCGTATCCTGTAATAAGGATTGCCTAACTTTCAGGAACCGCGTTACCAGAGTTCACTCATTGTTGCCAGGTTGTATATTTTAAATTTAAATTCGACTACTTTTAAAAATGGAAAATTTTGACTGCCAAAACAGCATAATTTTTTGGTACAACTTAGTTAAAAAAAAAAAAATCAGAACTTTTTTATTCAAAACCCATTGTAATTTACTATTCTTAGTCTACAGTTATAATGTTGAAAATGTAATCATTTATTGATACTCGTATATTTAAAAGAAAGTAAAATTGTACACATTTTACATGACATTAAAATTACAGAATAAAGGCAAAGAAAAAAATGTAATCAGTAATAAGTTCTCCTAAGTAATAGTTATTAAGTATACATTATTTTTTCTATGACGGGAAAAACGAAGAATAAATAATGAAAAAATATATTAAAGTCAGAAAAAATCAATCAATGTGAAATATGTAGTTTTAAACTGGTTGTACTTATAGCGAGCTAAAATTACGAACTTAAATTGTTTTAATAGTGATTTTGAATTCTTATTCAAGGTTCAAAAATGGATATGTCTGATTCAGTATTTTCTCTTACGCCACCAGAATTAGTGGTAGCAACGAAAGTAGCATCATTAAAAGTACCGCCATCTCCGAGTTCTTACCTGTACCTAAAGTACCTAAGGCGTTCGGGAACGGAAGTAGTTAAAATAAAAGTTCCTTTTTGACCGTTCGGAGATCGTGGAGTGGAGTGTCGATCGCGCATGCGCATAAGGTTTTTTAAATCGATAATAAGATAATTGTGACTAATTCTTAAGTAAAAATGCTTTTTATTTGGTTCCCGTGCATAATATTAATATGGAAGAAACTTCTAAGGTTGTTACTGATAAATACGATAAGGTTTTACTCTGGTTTTAAGTATTAGTATGTCACAATTACAACTGACATTGAACTAGTAAAAGGAGTAAAACCATATTCGCACTCCGTTTTACGCCTACTTACACCACTCCACTCTGAAGTGCGTAGCCCGAACTCACCTACAGTAGGCGAGTTCGGGCTGCGCACTCCAGAGTGGAGTGGAGTAAATAGGCGTAAACGAAGTGCGCACATGGTTTTACTCCTTTTACTCTCAGAGTTCAATCTCAGTTGTCAATGTTCAATACTAATACTTAAAACCTAATCGTACTTATCTGTAACAACCGTACAAGTTTCTTCCATATTAATGGTATGCACGGGAATCAAATAAAAAGCATTTTTACTTAAGAATTAGTCACAATTATCTTATTATCGATTTAAATCACCTTATGCGCATGCCCGATCCACACTCCACTCCACGATCTCCGAACGGTCAAAGAGGAACTTTTATTTTAACTCCTTCCGTACCCGAACGCCTTAGGTACTTTAAAAGTACCTAAGGCGTTCGGGTACGGAAGGAGTTAAAATTAGGAGTGAATATAGTGAAAAGATTGCGTAGACCGAACTCACCTAGTGTTACACATAAAGTGCATATCATGGGGGATTAATTTTTTTAAATTACAGTTAATAAATTTTGACTTTGCCATCATTTGTTGCTTCAAAAATGATAACGAATAACATCTACCTATCTATGTATCTATTTATCTATCTGAATTAGGGTGTGATTCAAATCCCACTCGTACTGAAGCTCTAGCTTTATTGTACTACTTCATAGTTTCTACCCCCATTAGGTTAACACTCTTGATGAATTCGAGAATAGGTATGGGCACGTTTTAGATTTCTTCAGGTTCCGGATATTGTACCCCGAAGTGCCATTTACGTTTCCATTTAAGGTTCCGGCAATAGCATAGTATGTGAATTGGAGTTTCGTCCTCCTCTTCATATATTCTACATAGGGAGTCGTCAGATATTTCTAAGAAATTAAGGTGTCTTCTAAGTCCTCAATGTCCCGTAAAGAGTCGTATCACGGCTTGCAGTTCGCTTCTGCTAAGGTTTTGCAGTTGATTTTGTCTCCTCTTGCATGGGCTCTATGAATATTTTGGACTCTCTAAGTCTAGGAAAGTCCAACCAGAGTATATGGTGTTTTCTATTTATCCATTCCGTTAGCACCCATTTAACATGTTGATATGAAATACCACATATGGTTTCTGGTCCAATTAGAGTTTTCTCAGCTCCCTTCCTAGCTAGGAGGTGTGATTTTTCGTTTCATATCACTCCCTCATGCCCAGCACCTATTCAAGAGTGACCTTGTTATGTTCTGCCAGGAACTGGAGGCAATCAAATATTAATGTAGATTGTATGTCTGCCCTTTTCAGTGATTTAAGGGCTGCCTGACTGTCATGATAAAGAGCCTCTTTATCTCTAAGAGAGTCATTAAGCATAACTTTGGCGCATACATTCATTGCTGTTATTTCAGCCTGGAAGACTGTTTTTAGTGACTCCAAGTTCGGACTAATGGTCCTCCCTGAGTTCACATAGCAAATCTCAGCCCTTGTGCTGGTTTTCATTTTCGAGTCGTCTGTATACCAGATTCATTATTTTTGTATTGTCCTGTTTTCTGGCTTTTGGTCCTTTCTGGTATTTGAATATCGAAAGGTTTCCTAAAGTTGTGAATAATAGGTGTTCCGCATTAGATGGCATTCGTAACATTGGATTTGTTTTAATTTCTCTAATATAATTGTTCCCATCCAAATCCATAAGTGAACAGTCTATATGCCGCCGTCATAGCCAGCTTCTCCACCACAAGGTGTAATGAAAGAAGACCTAGCAGTAGCTCCATTGCTTCAGTGAGCGTAGTTATAAATAGGCACCCCTGTTATTATCATGCAGGCCAGTGTTTGTACCTTATCTAATTTTCTTCTAGCTGTTTCTGATTTTACCCTTTTGTCGCCATATGACTGATGAGTAAGTTATAACTGGTACTAAAACCATGGTATAAAGCGAGTGCCTCATTCTTGGTTTAAGCCTCCACGTGTTTCCTGTCATCCTTCTACAGGCTCACAGTATTTTTTTAGCTTTTGTTGTTGTTTTTTCTATACGGCTGCAGAAGCTAAGAGTGATTCCATGTTATTTAACCTTCTTTGTCATTTTTAGATGTTGTCCCCATATATAAAGATCCTTCATTCCTTGAAAAGTCCTTTTTTTGTGAATACAACAACAGGTTTTCGTCGGGTTTGTGGACAATTTCTCTTTTAGGCACATCTGTCGACCATATTTAGTGCCTGCTGCGTCCTTTCGGAAACATACAGCCCCTAATTTATCGTATACTACGATGCTTAAGTCGTCTGCAAATACTTGCGTGAATAGGTTTTCTCTCTCTAACTCCAGTAAGAGGTCATCAACTACCAAGGTCCACATGAGTGGGTACCCCTTGTTAAAATTTCTCTCGTTATGTTAAAGAGATTACTGGTAATGGTATTATGATTAAGCATAAACTCACCCCACTGCGTAATGCAGTGTGCTACACCACGCATATGCATAGATTCCAGTATCGAATTGTACGAGGCCGAACTAAAGGCTCCTTCTATGTCTAGGAAAACTCCTATGCTATGTCTTTGCTTTCCAATGCTTGTTCAGCCTTTTGAGTTAGCCTATGTATGGCTGCTTCGCAAGAGTTTTCAGATTGGTAGGCACACTGGTATCGATGTGTCGGGAACGAATAACATGCAAATGGTCAATCACGTGGCTTGTAATAAAAGTCAAAATTTATATTATTTTTTTCCTAATAATTGCGAAAATGCATTAATTTTCAAAATTTCGAGAAACTTCAAAGAAAACGTTGCTTATTTTACCTATTAAACAAAAATACATTTAAAAGGAACACTTCGCGTAAAAACAAAATATTTAATACAAGTTTGTTTAGATTCCATTAGCCCAAAATTGAATTGGTAGAAAAAATAAAAAAAAAGTACAAAATTTGGGCTAAAAAAGTTGAAACTTGATATATGGATAAAAAATTAAAAACCTTTTTCTTTAGGCATTCGCGAAATTTTAAAAATAATGCTATTTTTTGCAATTTTTAGAAAAGAATGACATTTTTACATTTACAAAAATTCACCTGATTGACCAATTTGCCATTTTCGTTATCATTTTTGAAGCAACAAAATATGGAACAGTCAAAATTCTTTTACAGCATTTAGAAAAACAAATTCCATACTATGCGAACTTTATGTGTAACACAGAATGTACATATCCGAGAAAAAACTACCTACTCATTTTTTTTTTTTTTTTTTTTGGGAAAAAAGTAATTTCACAAAAAGACATTTTGTTACTTCTCCAAGAGATATAAAATGCCTAACTTTCTTTCCACCACATAAAAACATAGTTTATTAACGGATGCCTACTTTATAAATCAATACCTGGTAAGAAAAATAAAAAACACCCTCAATTTTGATTTGCACATTGTTTTGAGCAGTGTATCTCTCAGAAACCATGAGGTAAATATAAAAACTGATCTGGCAACGTCGGTTGATCCTTTAATATCTGTCATGTGTGTGGTCTACTTCCACTCTTCGCTCTTCTGCATTGTCTGTGATGCGAGCCAGCTGAGACTAGACTGCCAGTGATTATTTTGTGCCATGTTTTTTTTAAATTATTAGTGAAAATTAATTTATTTATCTATATTCAAACAATATCATTATGTCATTTAAATATTCAGTAATTGTTTTAGTCGTTTCCATTCTATATGTTTGCTCGAAAGAAACCAGTGGTAAGTAATGTTTATAAATGTAACCATTTGTTTATTTCCCAAAATAGGTATTCCCGGTTTATGTTTTTCAAAAATTGTTATTTTCAGTATTGTAATGTATTTCGTTTAATTCTACAGGCTATAAATAGATAGATTTCTGGATTGTTCCGTTTATTTCTGAAAAGCTTGAGGTTTATGTTTCATTACCAAACTGAAATTGCTCTAAAGTCACGTAGTAATAAAAGTTAAACTTAAAATAGATTGTCGTTAAATTTTTAAATGATATTTTAAATAATTGTTATAATAGTTAGATAATTTACTGAACGACTAGAGATACCGACTATCCTATCAATGTGTTGAGATAAAACCCAATAAGATACATCCATTGGCAATAAAATACAGGAAGTTGGAAGCTGTGCTGGTTCTTTAATCAATTTGTTATTTTTAAAGATTGCGCGTGATGTAATGAATATTAAAAACATCTGCTTTAATATACATACATTACTGTAATGTTTAAGAACAGAATTAATTGGTTCAATAGATGGTTGAAACATTCTTTTAATTAATTTATTGAATTTTTAGGCATTGGCTCTTAAAATTAGTATTTTTATTAGGTACCTAGGCATACGGAATTTATGTAGGCAAAAATTATTTTGTTAATAATCCCACTTGCGCCCATAAAAATATTTAAATTAAAAATATGAAAGTTTGTAACTTATGGCTTGTATTTTTATATTATTTTTGAATAAACTTTATTATTACAACACTATCAAGATGTATTTACACTTGTTTTCTATTGGAAAAAGAAGAGATTAAGTTATACATAGCTGGGCGCTGGGTAATAAGACGAATATTTTAAAAATAACATTTATTTAAGGAGTAAAATAACTAAAAATTGCTCAAATAATGAGGTCATCTTGATAAATATTATTCTTTTATTTGACCCCGCAGTTTTACAATAATATGTCGTTGATTCTTTAACATTATCTAGGATTTCTGTGAATAAAATATTTAAAATATTTCAAATCAAATATAGGTAGGTATACAGGGTGTTAGGACTTTAATATTCGATAGTATTTTTATAATTAATGTGTACAAAAAGTTTATATATAAAGTTTTCGAGATACGATAGATTTTTTTAAATATCCTGAACGTATTGTATTAAAAGTTAGTTAATTATGAGGTTTTTTGGTATTATGGATACTGTTTTATTTTAGCCGCCAGGGAGCCATCTTTATTGTACTTTTTACGGATTATAGGTATAGGGCTTTTATAATAAATTTTATATCATACTTTTTCAAAACCTGACGAAGTTTTGACTGTACCCAGACAACACACCAAATCCCAGAGATATCCACAGAATATCTTTTGTGGATATCCAAGACACAGAAGAAAGAACAATACCGAAAAGAAAGTAATGGTCCGAACTTTGAAGTTGATGGGATAGAAATATTTGACCTTGAGTTCCACCACAGAGATACTCTGAGAAAACGTAATTATTCACAGTACACGCGAACGTAGCTATTCGCTGAACCTACACTGCGAAATCTACATTTCTCTTTTTTTAAAAGAAGAAAAATAAAAAACGTGTATTTATGCAATTGATAAGTTTACAATCTAGTGCATGTATTTTATTAAAATAGAATTGTTTGAAAATTAAAATAATTAAAATTGTTTACACAGATTTATAAAGCAAGCCTAATTTATAATACATAGATAAGTAGCTTTATTAAAATAGTTATATCCTAATATATAACAAAAATATAGAATAATTATATAAACGGTACTTATACAAAATATTAAATAATGAGTAATTATTTTTCTTCTTTTTGCACCAAACAAACGTTTTCTCAACGTTGCTATCTTCAGTCGCAGTCTCTGCTTTCTTGGAGTGTTTGATGATGACACATTACACGTTTGAATTTGTGCTGTTCTCATACTTTGATTACTATACGAGGCAAGAGAGAGGTCCGACACGCACAACATAGGCCGCGGCCATTTTGAACCCTGTGACACAGTTTACAGCTAAAGAATCAGATCGCTCACTCTGCGTCGGCACTTTTGATCTCAATGTTTCAGTTTATACACTGTGCAACTCGGATAATACAATATATGACAATCGCCTATAATAAAACAGCAGTCTTCTGCGTATCCTGAATTTGTATCCCTGGAGTGGATGTTATTTTGGAACTTTCAACTGGTCCGAGTGAGCTAACTGATTCTTTAGCAATAAACTGTGACTTCAAAAATAATATTCACTGACACTGACTGCAGCAAGCAAAATATCAGGTGCGTTTTAATCATCCGCTTCTGCTTCCGGAATTGTCGGTTTAGTCGTTTTAACCTGTCAGATTAAAACAAGAAAACCGACAATTCCGAAGCAGAAGCGGATGATTAAAACGCACCTATTAAAAATATTGCGCCAAGATGTAGGCAACACGTAATAAGGGTTCAAAATGGCGGAGTTTTCTATCTCCTTTTAAAAGGCACTCAGAAAGCTGCGCAGGGCGACCATTCTCCGTATAGTAAAAGAAAATCAAAGTATGTGGTGCTGTTACACAAGGTATAAAAACAGACGGTTGACTATGCACTTGTTCAATAAATTCTACTTCTGCTGAAGTTGAGGGTAGACACAAGTTGTCTTTGCCTTCTTCGCCATGAAAAACAAATTCCTCTAAAAAAAGAAAGACAAACTAAATTTTTATCAGATCAACTAGGTCAAGAAGGTGCATCATTTGTCAGAATTAAATGTTTGAGTCACACTTTTTAGCCAGATGAAATTTAAAATAATTTTATAAAATGTGAATATATTTCTGTGCCTAGGAGATAAACTGCACTGTCATTCTAGTCAACTTTTTAGTACAGCAGATTGAATGTTGTTAAATTATTAAATTTCAACTAGATATGCATTTAGACGCCCATTTATTGTCACAATATTTATATTTTTTACTAACCTAACTACTAAAACTACTTTATTTTAATTTGCATAAGTTGTTGTATGTCGACATAGTGCAGTTTACCTCCGAGGTAGTTCTACAAAATGAAATGTATGGGTTGATATTCTATTATTAGTACTTATCTTTTTATTTTTTAAACTACTAAATATAATGTAAAAAAATGACAAGACGAGTAGCAAACTTTTTGTAACATTTAACTATAAATTGTATTTATTTACCTTGCAAAACTGTGACTCTTTTCGTAGGTTCTGAATGGGGAAATACTGTTGGGAATGCATTTTCAAATAATCGTTTTCTTGTTCCTGAATGGGGAAATACTGTTGGGAATGCATTTGCAAATAATCGTTTTCTTGTTCCTGACTGATAAACGAATTTATCCTGGAAGTGTAGTTCACAAATTTTGTAATTTTTACTTAAGTGTTCAACACGCTTTCCAAATAAGTTCTCTCTATTTGCTGCCTTAAGCCACAATTCAAGTCTGAAAAATACATACAATCATTGTACTACCATGTTATGGCAAGATCAATTCCTATTTCACCCTCAAGGTTTCATACCTACCTCACTGGACCTTTCACAAGAGTGAACAAAATCCTTCTTTGCCACCTGTTCTTGAGGTACATCCACGATAAATACAAGTATATCCTCCTCTTTTACGCGGCATTGTTTATAAACCTAATCTTAATACGTACAATAAAGTCTTAAATTAACAACTCCACAATTAAAAACATCAACAAAAACTAAAAATAAACAACTAAAAAAACTAAAAGTTATCAGAATATTCGCTAAAAACAACCAAAAATCCAAAACGACAAATAAAGACACGATAGGAAAAAATATTGATTTTCTAACAGCAACAGCAGTGACAGCTTCGTTCACCTGCTATAAAAGTGTGCACTGTTGCACTTCGAACAAGTAGTAACAAATCTACGGTTCAATTTTGACAATGCTCCACCATGAAGAAGGTGTGGCTTCGGTTGCTAGGTTCCTGTTTTAGCCCTATGTTTCTTTTCTGTATTGTTCTTTATCCTGTGTCCAAGATATCCACAGGATATCAGAAATATTCCGTGGATCTAATATGGATATCCAAATGTCCGTCTATATAAAAAATATAGAAGATATCCTAATGGATATCCAGCAAAATATCTAATGGGTATCTTCCAGAAAATACAAGAAATACCAGATATATCCACAGAATATATTTTGTGGATATTCAATATATCCAATATGGATATCCAACCAAATGTCCGTCTATATCCCAGGATATAGAAGATATTCGGATATTCAGCAACATATTTTATCTTTAGTGGAGGTTTATAAGTAACCAATGATTATTGAATAACGTCGAAAGAAAATAGCAGAGATAAAAAATATTTTCAACACTCAAAATATTTTCAACACTCTGCCTTTGATTTTGCCCACTAAGGAGAAAGTCATCCTTATTAGGACTCTTCAGCAATAAATGGAAATTCTCGACTCCAGTCTCTAATGAAGTTTGAATAGAACAAAAATTTCGATCGAACTCAATTACGGCGGGTCAAGCATGAGTAGATGCGAAAGTGGTATCGCCATCTATACTTAGTAAGCAAAATCAAATAACATCTAGTGCAGAGATTAGGGACATAAAGATTGGAAACGCAACGACCGCAGCAACGGTGGTGACATCTAGCGTCTCAGATGTTAACTACATGTCTATGTCGTTTGTAGAGAGACCAGTGTTGCCAAATATTTTTTTCAGAGATCGTACAAGTATAGTAGAAAAATGGTATTTCGACAAAAAAAAATGTACAATAGATACATGCATAGCATAATATAACTTAAATGGAATGACAAAAAAACTTTGGCATGATAATTTATTTATCTATTTATAAAAATATTTACAACGAAAAAAAACTAAAGAAAATACATGAAACTTTAAATTAATACATTTAAAGTAATCAATGACTGTCACTTGAAAGTGATTGAAATTTTGTATGCTAGTTTTTCTTATGCCGTGATAGTCGGTGTACAAAATCACCATGATCTAAATCACGATAAGTCAGAACGAAAATGATTGCTTGCAGAAAT